GCGGTGGCGGGGCCGCCTCCTCGCCGTCGCCAAGGCACCGGCTCCGTGTGTGTCTGTGTGTGTGTGTGTGTGTGTGTGTCCTCCACCCCCCCGACGCCGCCCCCCCCTTCCGACGCCGCCCGGGCGACCGTGGCTTTAGATTGTTACTGTGCCGCTGGGGGGGTAACAGTCTACAGCCATGGTCGCCGGGCCCGGCGGACTCGCACCGCGGGCAGCACCGGCTCCCCCATCACCCTAAACACCCCCCACCACCACCTTTTAGCCCGTCGGGGGTACCGGAGAGCGTTAGGGTCCCGTCGGGGGCTGCCCGCCTCCCGGGGCAGTAGGAGCTCACATGCAGGATGCAGCTCACCGCACATCAACTCTTACTGTTCGGGGGGGCGGGCGCCGAGCGGCTCCTCCTCGGACAACGGGAACGGCGGGACCCCTCCGTGCACCGACATCACGGTCCCTCCCCGGCCCCGCAGCCCCTCACCTGCCCTCCGCATCCGTGAGCGGCTCCCGGAGCCGCCGCCCCATGTCCCGTCCGTGTCGCCGTCGGGGATGCCCGGGGAAGGGGGGGCAGCGGGGCCGTTCTCGGTAGCGGAGCTCGGGCCGGCGCGGCGGGGACTGAGCGGGGCCGGGCGGCGGCCGGGGGCGGGCGCAGGTTGCACAACCGGCCCGGCGCGGCCAGGAGATTCCTGAGCGGCGAAGTCAGAGCGGCCCGGCCTGCCCCGGCAGCGGGCACCGGGCCCTCGGCGGCCGGCGGCGACCGGTACCGGCCAGGCAGGGCCCCGCGCAGGGGCCACCGGGGACCCAGAGCCCCGGGAGATGGGGCTGGATGGGGAATGGTGACCATGGAGATGCTGCACGGGAAGGGGGGACAGGTCCCAGCTCCTCCCCACAAACAAGGACTTTTAAACCTAAGGGTGCTGCAACTCCAGCACGGGGGTCCCATAGGGGTTCCCCACGGGGTGCCCCCTAAGGCGGGGGTTGTGCCTTGCCCATGCTCCCCTTTAGGAGCACCCATCCTCACCTAGGGGGGCCACAGGCTAACGCTGGGGTCCCCAGGGCCATGGCACAGCAAGGGGGTACCACAGGCACTGGGTCTCTGCCGTGTCCTGCTCCATTCCCTAGCAGCGATTCCCTTTGCTCCCCGCTTTATCCCACTGCTGTGGATGGCAGCTGGCCACGTGCCATGCACCTCCAGGAAGGGGATTTTGGGGCAGCCCCACCACCGCTCAGGTAAAGTCACAACCAACTTGTGTTTAGCACAGCAAAAGTTGCTGCTGGCCACGAAAACCATTCCCTGCAGGGGCTGTGGCATCCAGGACCCTTCCATGGGTGATGGGACACATCCCATGGGCAGCACCGTGGCTCCTGGACCCCATGCTCCAGCCCTGGGAAGGCTCCGTCTGCGCTGTTGTTGTTTTGAAGGCCAAGTCTCTCCTGCTGACACCCCTGGAATCAAGTTTTCTTTCCAGAGTCCTTAAAAATATCCCGGATTTCTGACACTGCGATTTGTCTTCCAATGATGCTTCCAAGCCGCCGGGACCGCAGCCAGCCATCAGCACCGGGGGATGAAGGTTGTCCGACTCCCGTGCTCCTCCTCAGCATGGAGACTCCCCAATTGCACACTGGGACAGTGCTCAGTGGGGTGCAAACCTCAGCCTGGCTCCCGGCAAGCATCCCTGTGCTGGGGTGGGATCGATTTTCCAGGGGGATATCCAGCAGCCGTGACCCTATGGAGCCCCACAGCTGATGATGGAGCTGCTACAAGTGTGTCCCGTCCCCCCCCCCGGCTGGGAGCTCTCCGTGCATCCCTATGAGAGCCCCCGAAACCCAGCCTGTGAGCCGCTCCCAAGGGGGATCCACGTGGGAACGGTGGGGATCCGGGGTGGGTTGAGGGGTGCCGGAGAGGTGCTGCTGCCTCCCCCCCCCCCGTGCTCCCCCCCGATGAAGGCAGGGTCGCTGCCCGCCCGCCGCACTCGCTGGTGTTGCCATCCCACAGCTCTTGGCGAAAGGAGCTTTTGTGATTCAGCCGTGTTTATCCCAGCCCCGCGGCCCGGCCCAGCGTGGGTTTCCATGGAAAACTTCCATCCAAAACAAGGAGAGAAGGAGCTACAGCGGGAGTGACTCAGCCACAACTGGAAGCTTCTGCGGGTGAAGCAAGACAAGGGGAAAGGAAGGGGGGGGACTGGTCCCAAAGGCTTCGTCCCGCTCCGGGCAGCGGGTCCCAGGGATGGCCCCGACTCTCTCCTGTTGGGGGGAACTGCATTGTGTAACCATCCGTGGAGCACCCTCCTGGAGCACCCCACACCCCCCCCAACAGAGCCTCTTGTGGGGACAGGGGAGGAAGAGCATGAGATGAGTAAGGCTCAGACCCAGCAGGATCCGCACCCGGAGCCCACCGGGTGGGCAGCGGAGGAGGGCCTGAGTCAGCCACGGCGCAGGGGAAGGGATGTGGGTGTCTGGGGGTGGCAGCAGCACTGGCAGCACATGCTGGGCTCCTCCTGGGCTGCTGGGAGAGGGCTGGGGGTGCTCTGGGGTAGGGAAGGACCCCACTTGGACACGGGTGACTCCCCCCTCCTTGCCATAGCACCAGGCTGGGTAACGCTGGTGGCTGTCCACAGGTTGGGGCCAGCATGAAGGTGGAAAAAGAGGCATTCCCAAGGCAAATCCCTCTGGTGACAGACGCAGCAGCCACTTCCCTCCTGCCATTGCACCAGAGGCCAAGCACCACCTTCCCCTGCCGCTCTCATAGAGGGGGGGGGGTCACCTTTATTTGTCGCTATGAATTTCAAGGGGTACAGGAGCAGGTCCCGCAGCACCCCCGTCCCGCAGCACCCTCTGCCCCAGCTCCCCGCAGAGCCGGGCTCCGTCCCAAGAGCAGGGAGCTGCGGCGGGACCACGCCGGTGCGTGCCTGCGGGCCCGCAGTGCAGGCGCCTGGGCTGCAATGCCTCCGCCACGCCGCTGGGCAGGGAGAGCTCCGTGGTGATGGAAGAGCAACCACTGAGCTCTCTGCTGCCATCCTGCCTCCGCAGCACAGACACAGGCACAAGGTGCGTCTCTCCCCTGCCAAAAAGCGGCCTCTGGCACCCCCAGTACGGTAACCAAGGGGTGACAGACACCAGAGAGGTGACACAGTGCTGCGCTGGGAGGTGATGGAGCAGGCAGGCTCTGCCCGAGCCCCACATCCTCCTGCCACCACAGAACCAGCAACAAGGCAGAGGGCAAAACACATGCACGAGGACTTGCTTCTGCTTGGGATGGTTTTATCCCAGTGCAGCTCCCAGGCCCGTTCCTGGCTGAGCAAACACTGAAAGCGCTGCTGGTCCCTGTCCCGAAGCCTGCTCCTTCCACAGCATCCTCCATCCCTCGCAGTGCACACACCACACTGCAGAAACAAGGGGCAAATGAAGAAGTTTCACCTAATTTTTCTCTTTTACCAAGTCCATTGCACTGTTCCCCCAAGGAGAGGCGTGATTAGGAGCCCTGGGTATGGTACCTCTGGGCTGCAGAGAGCACCAGTCAAGCAGGACCCCTGGAATTGTAACAATAATAAAAGATTTCCATGTTTCTGGCAAACACAGGAACCAAAAGCACAGCGACAAGTTCTTGTTCACAAAGGCACTTGGGACAGAGGATGATACAAAAGGTCCCAACACACCGAACCAGCAGGTATTTCATTCATGAAAGGAACACCAGCCACACACGAGAGGCTTTACAGACCCAGAGCAGCTGGAAGGTTGGCTTAAACTGATATTAAAGCACATGAACTTCTGGGGTAAGAGCTGCAGAAGCCGGGTGCGCTGCAGACCTTTGCTGGGGGACCCTGACTTTGAACACCTATTTGTCAGAGCACCTCGCACAGGGTCACCCTCCTGTCCTCAACCCCATCGTACCCACACACTCGTATCTATACCATGTCTGCAACAGGGAGATAACAAAGGGCCATTCAGCCTGGACGAACACTGCAGAGCAGCAGGGAGGTGACAAGGGCTCTTTGGCCCCTCTGGGGGTCACAAACACGGTGCTCTGTCACCACCCCACGGCTCGCTACAGCACCGTTTATTACAGAGCCTGTCATCAAACCGCCCCAGCCTCCAAGGGCTCAGCCTGTCCCTGTGCAGGGCAGAATCGGTCCAAGAAGTCCAGGTACGCCTTCCTCTGTGCTGCAGCCGCAGGGACAAAGTGCCCGCCGGGGTGGCTGAGGACAACAGGCTCCACAAAGCACTGCGCCAGCTCCCTGCTGAGAGAGGCCGCGATGACAGCATCGGTGTCCCCCACAACGTGCAGCGTGGGCAGGGCGATGGGCTCCCGGTAGAAGTGCCCGTGGGCCGGGGCTCTGCTGGCAAAGCCGGCCACCAGGATGGCGAAACCCACCGGGAAGCGGGGATCGCCGCGGGCCCGCAGCGCGCACACCATAGCGGCCAGCGCCGCGCCCTGGCTGAAGCCCAGCAGCCCGTCAATGGGCCCGTGCTCCGCCAGCGCCGCCGCCACGGCCGACAGCGATTCCTCCAGCCCCGCCGGCTCCGCCGCCGCTTCCGCCGCCTCAAAGGTACCAGGCCCGGAGAACCACCAGCCGCGGGGGGGGTCGTTGCCGTCGCCGTCCTCACCGCCGCCGGGCACGGTGTGCGGCGCGCTGACCGGCACCAGCTCGGCGCGGCCCCGCAGGGCCTTGCGCAGCGCCCCGGTGCGCTGCCGGAACCGCGGCCCGCTCTGCCGGTACCCGTGCAGCGCCAGCAGCCGCAGCGGAGCCCGCTCCGACATGGCTTCCGTGGCCGCCGGAAGCCAACTGAGGCACTTCCGGCAGCTTCCGTCCCTTTTCCCGCCGAAACGCTTCGCGCTCATTGGACGGCGCGGGGGAAGAGAGCGCCCCCTACTGGTGGGAGGTCGCGGAGCCAAGAAGGATGCCGGGGGAGCGGCGGGATGGGACCTCCGGTGGGGCGGGACGGGACCTCCGGTGGGGCGGGACGGGACCCTCGGTGGGGCGGAATGGGACCCCCGGTGGGGCCGTGCAGGAAGGCTCGTCCATCGTACTGTCATCCAGTCAAGGTATGGGATGCACCCCATCCATCCCGGTGCTGGTACCGGCAGCCCCCGGTGATGCTTACCGTCGAGGAGGGGGGAACAATGGTGCTGCCCGCTGTGCCTGTGCCGGGTCCGGGAGCATGGCGACAGCAGACTGGGGCGCAGGCTGTGCTTAGGAGGTTGCTGGGGTGCTGATGCTCTGCCCGTCCTTACTGGTGCTCTGCCCGTCCTTACTGGTGCTCTGCCCGTCCTTACTGGTGCTCTGCCCGTCCCTACTGGTGCTCTGCCCGTCCTCCACTGGGCTGGGGGGCACGGGTGGCTTCCCCTGCAGCAGAGAGAAGGGAGTCAGAACCGGGTCCCAACCCTGACCTGAGCCGTGATGAGCCTGCCTGTGCTCAGCCCACAGCACCCCATAGGGCACGGCTGGGGGGATCCCCCCTCCTGGGGAGCCGTGGAGCCAGATGGGTGCTCACCCCGGTAAGGACCGGGGGAAAGACTCGAGGTCCCCTCCTCTCCACCGGGCTGGCACCGGCCCCGTTACTGTTCACCCCGAAGGAAGCCACAGGGTGGCGCTTTTGGCACATGGCACCGGGCACCGCATACACCGGGTACCGCATACACCGCATGGCACCGTGCACCGTACGTTCAACCCGTGCCAATGCTCCCAACGCCCGTCCCTCCCACCCCACAAGGCCACCAAGAGGCAAAGAGATGCAAGAGAGATGGCAAAGGGATGGAGAGGGGAGCTGGTGGCACCGTGCTGCCCACCTGGGGCACCCTGCCATGGCGCAGGGGCTGTGTGCCAGCGTGGTTCACCGTCCACGGCCCCAGGGACTGGCTGGCATAGAAGTCCATGGGGTAAGGCTGCTGCCACTCGATGTCCTGGAGAGCCACCATGGCCTGTGGAGGGGACAGGAAGAGTCCAGGAGAGGTCCCAGCCTGGTGTGCTCAGCAGGGCACTGCTGCGGTGAAGCTTGTGGCACAGGGAATCCCACTGGTTTCACATGAGATTGGGAATCCCAGTGGCACAGCCCGGTTTGGGGGTCCTCACCTCATAGGGTGTCAGCAGGGGCTTGCTGAAGGCTTCTCCCCAGTCGATGGACAGGCGAGGACAGGCTACCTGCACCCACCTGGAAAGGAAACGCATGGTGATAAATGGGGATGAGGATTTTGGGATGAAGAAGCCACAAAGTCTTGCAGCAGCCCCCTGGAAGGAAGCTGAGCCAGAGCCACCCTGCCAAGGACAACCATATCCTCTCCTTGCATAGCAAGGACAGGGGTGCACAGCGCCAGCAGGGCACCTTCCAATGGGAATCAGAGGCCTGGACAGGGATGAGGCACCCTGGGGACCCCAGCAGAAGGGAGTTTGAGGGGGGCTCAGCAGCACTCACGCATCCACATCAGGGAAGAGCTGCAGCTTGCTGGGGAAGATCTCAGACAGCAGCACCCTTACGAAGGGCCAACCCAGGGCATGGAGACGCGATTCCAGGTGCTGCAGGAGGGAAAAAGGCACCACAGGGTTAGGAGAGCCCAGAGAAATGTCCCTGGCAAGCCCCCTACGGCCCCTTTTTCTGGCCATCAGACCCTCTGTGTGTCCCAGCTCTGCCCCACAGCCTCATCCCCACGGCAGTGGCAAGGCACACGCAGCGACAGGGATGGTGGCCGTGGCTCCAGCTCCATCCCAGCTCTCCCCAGCGCGTGCCTCAGCCTAATGAAGTAATTACAGCTCAATGACAACAATCTGTTCTCGTTAGCGGCTGCCTTCCCTGGGCCGACCGCCTGCCGCGGGCTGCCTGCGGCCAGGAGCTACGGGAGGAGGAGGAGGATGGCCCAGGAGGGGCCAGGGACGGACGTCCTTGTCCTCCGGAGCTGGCACTATCCAACCCTGTGCCCAGCCAGCCCCTGCCATGCCTGTGTCCTGCTGCTGCAGAACAGAAGCTGCTGGGCCCTCCCCACTCAATTCTGCCCGCTGGTTCCTCCTGCACTGCCCCAAATCTCACCTGCAGCTCCCCAAAACCTTGGGCTCAGGGCACCCCACTCCCATGGGGCTGAACTCCCCTCGCCTGGCCGGGGTGCAGGAAGTGTCAGTGCGATGGCTGAGCAAGGACAGTGAACCCTCTTGGAAGTTCATCCAATTAAAGCAAAGCCAGGGAATTAATTGCCAAGCTGCCCATGCAGGGGGGTCTCCAGGGCTGGCCAGCTCTCCCCAGCAAGGGGCAGGATTAACAAGGCCTTCATCAGCTGCTAATTGCCCTGCCTGCTCAGCTTAGCCTAGAGGCCAGTGGCAAGCAATGGGCTGCCAGGTCTACCCTCACCCCAACAGCGAGGCCAGCGCCAGTGGTACCATTCTTTCCCCTTCCCAGGGGCAGTGCCCAGTGTCCACGGGGAAGGTGCTGGTACCTGCAGGATGCTGGGGGAGCCCTGTCGCCCCAACGTGCCCAAGATGAGCCCCCAGGAGCGGGCAGTGGCAGCGGTGCAGATGGCGTCCTGCCGGGCACAGTGCATGCGCTCGTGGCTGTAGTGCTCCTGGGAGAACACCTTGCTGTAGGGATCATACCTGCAAAGCAGAGCCCATCACCGACCCCTTCCCTCCATGGGGGCCCCAAATAATACCCTCCCCTCATTAGCACTAATTGCCTCCCAGAGCATCCCTCCCTTTGGCTGCAGAAGAGCCCAGCCAGCTCACTCAGGGTACAGAGAAGGGGACAAGGCGAGTGTCCCACCTCAGCCCCCCGACGTGGCAGAGCCTGTGGGCTCCACACTCAGCTCCGTGCACCGCTCCCCCTCATCCCAGCTCATCAATTATGAAGAAATCTTTGATTTGTTGCTTTGTTTGACGAGGAGAATTTTAATCAAATCCCACTCGGGTTTCGGCAGCTTCCCCAAGCGCCATAAACCTGACGCGCGCCTCCCGTTAGTAACAAACGACCTACTAGGAAATTCAGATTTCACCAAATGGCCCCAGCCTTTCACTCTTGATATTTCATCTGCTTTCAGCAGCCTCATCATCGCACTTTATGGCCTCTGCCTGCAGCAGCCAGGGCTTTAATGGCTGCACCTCCACGAGCTTTCACAGGTACTTGTCAAAATGTTTATATTCAGGCGGAGTAAATGGCTGGTGTTCATCACCCCGCTGCACCTCTTCACCCCTCACCTGCCTGTGCCCCTGCCTGCAGCTCAGCCCTCAGGTTTGGGGTGCTTGTGGGGGGGGGATGGCGGGGAGAACCGGTCCCTGGCATTCTGGGGAAACAGGGATGCTCCTCACTATGGGGACCAGAGTGGTACCCGTGGGCTGTGCGTACCTGTAGGCAGGTATCCCGGGGTTGGCAATCATGATGGACTCCAGGTGGAAGCGCCCGTCGCCCAAATACCTGCCGAGAGGGAAGGAAAAGCTATGGCACACATTAAACAGCAGCCCCCATCCATGGGCCTGCTGGTTTCCTAAGCCACAGTGTGTGGAGATGCTGGGAACGCAAGCTCCCACACTGGGATGCAGGGCAGTGGGCAAAGCGCCCCATCTCCATGCAGCCCTCTGGTGGGCTGCGGTGGGAGGAATGAAGAGGGATGCTCCTGGTGGCCAGGAGCTGCTCCATCTCAATGCCTGCTTCCAGATGTTGCTGCTTCCATTTCTAATCAGATTTCAAGTCAGCAATTACATTTCAAAGCCTTTCATTCAGCTGCCCTAATGGAGTGAGGGCTTGGAAAATGAATTCAGACGTAAAACTTGACTAGATTTTGCCCTTAATTGGAGAATGACATTTTGGGAGATCAAAGCTAATTTGTCTGCAAAAGTTAGCCCCAGAGACATGGGGGGAAGAAGAAAATAACAACATGGGGAGGATGCAGGTACAGCAGACGCGTGCACCTGAGCACCACAGCTCCATCGGCACTGGGAACAGCCCACCCTTACCAAAGCAGTGCCAGCCCTGCCTGCTCTGACACCCCTGGGAGACAGGGAAAGCAGCACCACTCCCTTGCCACTGGTGTGGCTCAGGGTGAAGCCAAAGACCCCCCGATCCCATGCCCAGCAATCCTAAATCCCATCTCCCACACTGCCATGCCTGGGAACGCACCAGCACAGCATTCCCAAACCCACACCTGGGCTCCCCGGCTCCCCCCAAGGGTGGGGTCCTTGTGTTTATTTATTCTGGAGCACACTGTATTCACAGTACATTAAGCATTTCCATTACCTAAAATAATTAGGTGATAGGAAGCGAAGTGCTCCCTCTAATTTGCTGTCCTTAAATAAAATTAATGTTGCCGTGATGTTGGGCCCCGGCCATTTGTCTTTTCCAATTATCCACCTGCCCTTCCATCTATTATCTATTCTGATATACGACTCAATTATTTCCTCCGTGCTAGGAGCACACACCACTCCGAGCAGCACAGGGAGATGGAGGGGGCCCATCCATGCCCATGGATGTCCCCCCCCGCCTCGACTCACTCCATGCCCAGGCAGGGGGTACAGGCAGGAGGAGCCTGGAGGACCTCAGGTACTTACACAATGGCATCTGTATCCTGGGCAAGCCGTGGTGATGTGCAGCCCAAAATCTCCCCTGGGGACAGCGGCTTGCACTGGGGCACACACACCTTGTACTGGGAGCGCAGCTCCTGCGCTGCTGCCTATGGGAGACGTGGGGTTAGCAAAGGAGAGACCACGGCATCGAGTGTGGCTGAGGCTGGTGATCCTTGGCAGTGCTGGGGACACCCCAGCCCTGGCAGTCGCAGTTGTTGTGCCTGAGCACAACGGCAGTGGAGGGGAACCGCTCTGCTCGGGGCAGCACCCGGCTGGGTAATGGTCCTGCCCAGCCAAAACGCTCAGCAAGGCTCAGCCAACATATCAATTAAAAGACAAGAGAACATGCTCAACGCTTCAATAGCCCCGTGTTTAGATAGACATGGCTCAGGAGGCTCATTCATCTCCTCCCGTCCTGCCCAGCTGGCTATTCAGGGGCAGACAGACAGACCCTCCGGAGCTTCCCCTGCCGCTGCCGGCACTGCATCAAAATGCCAAGTGCTCCACTGCCTGCCCTGACATTTACAGAGCAGCTCCCGGGGGAGGCAGGGAGGGTGCCGCCATGAAACATTGATCAGAGTTATTATAAAGTACTTGATCAACATTACAGCAGCAGCATATTATGGCAGCGACTCGACAGAGGGGAACCGGCACCACCAGCACCCCGGGGCAGCCGCTCCAGCCACAGAGACAGAGCAGGGTCGAGGTGGAGGAAGACACGAGCATCATCCTGCACTGCCCGGGTGCCCCCATCTCACCTGCACTGTGGAGACAAACTGGATGGTGCTGACGAGGGCCAGGGAGGTGCCCGCTGGGAAGTTGAAGCGAATGGTCTCAAGGAAATGGGCTGTGTCGATCTTGATGTCCACGAACACGTAGAGCATCTTCAGCCCCTGCGTGGTGTCGATGGGAACTGGTGAGAGGAAGAGAAAGGGTGCGAGTGTGGGGTACACCCAGGGTCCTGGTGAACCCCTGGCTGCTGTTGCCTGCAGCTGGGGGGATAAAGCACGTTCGTGGGGCTCCCTGTGCCCTGACTTCCCCAGGGTGCTCTGTGCCACCCCTCCGCCCGTGCTGACACCCCAGGCAGAGCGTGCAGATGGGAGCCATGGGGAGCACCTGCTCGTTTCTCTCCTGGATAATGGCAGCCTGGGGAATCAATGAACACAAATCTAATTACCCCCGGTGCTAAGAAGCCTCTGTCACCACGATTAAGTGAATAATTAAAGTACACAGAGTCCACATCGATCCACGGCTCCGCGTTCACTTCCCATTTTGGCGCTCTTCGCCTGATCACAATTAAGTGCAAATTACTCCCTCCCGCGGGGCATGCGGGGCCGGGAGGGAGAGGGCAAGCACCCGTGTGCTGCATGGGGGCACGTCCCACCAGCGGTGACAGCAGCACCATGGGCAGCCCAAAAGGAGCCCAGCACCCTGGGACACATTCAGCCCTGGGCAGGCAAGGACCACGGAGCCATAAGCAGCGGATAGTGGCTGAGCTGGCGACAGGAGCAGCTCCAGATGTGATTCCCGTCTTCTGGAACAGCTCAGCTCTTGCCCAGGCACACTCCTAAGCACCATCATATAGGGTCCCTCTCCACTGTTCATTCATGAAGAGCAGGCCACAAACTAGAGGGTTTATAGCCCCTGTTCCAGTGGTGCCCGTAACCCGCCTTCCATAACAAAGCACCCAGCACAGATATTTATCACTGCAAATGCTCACGCCGACAAAGCTTTTAGGACAGAGTTCTCAGCTGGGGAGTCTGTATTTCACCCAGAGCCTGGTGTGATTCTTCAAACCCATTTATACGGCCCCATAAACGTCCAGAAGGGCTGCCAGGTGCCGGGAGCGCGGCGGCAGCAGCAGGGACACACTCTCCTGCTGCTCGCTATGACAATTCTGCAGATCCACCTTAAAACCCAGAGTGCCTTATTGTTATTTTTGGGCTGATTCCATCCTGGGTGGACTTCAAAGTTAGCAGCATCTGGGACAGCAGCACAGTTTCCATGGCAACTGGATCCAGAGTACTGTCCGCCTGGGGAGCACATAGCCTCCTCCTCCCTTCCCCGCCCAGCCTGCGCTGCACCCGCAAAGCTGCCTTCCCCAGCTCGGGATGAGCGGGATCCCCAGCACATTGCTCTCCTTTATCATCATTCCCAACATCCCCCAAAGCCCAGAGCAGCCCCCCAAAAACCCATCCTGGGCGAGCAGGGTCCTGCCAAGCCACGGCCTTGCCGCTCTGCTCTTGGGCACGGCGCCGCGATGCGCGCGCTGCGTCGGCGCACGGCTGAGCACACCGAGCCCTGCTGCCCCCCAAATCCTGCCCGCAGGCAGCCACCCAGCCAGCATGGCCCCATCCAAAGCCAGCAAGCAAGGCTGGAGAACAGAAATCCCCTTGGGAAGGGATTAGCCCTTGGCACCACATCCCAGAGCTGGCGCTGAGCAGGGCGGGGAGCGGCTCTGCGCTGCACGGTGGCAGCCTCTGCAGTGCCACCACGCATGGCTGCCTCAGCACAGCCCCAGGGCGAGTGTCACCTACTCAAGCAGCTGTGTCCATAGTGCACCAAGAAGTCAGCACCCAGGGCCCGCGCGGTGTAGTCATCCACGCAGCACGCACCATAGGTCACGTCGCCCATCACCACCGCCTCAGCGTCGGTGAACCTGCGGGGAGGAACAACGGTGAGGGAGGCTGCGGGACCGCAGAACCACGTCCTGCCCCATAGCAGGCATCGCTACCATAGGGGGGTTGGACCCCACGCTGCCGTCGAGCCGAAGAGGACAAGCACTGGCTACTCTCTGAGATGTCAACATGATTAAGCTGGAGAGCCGTAATCCGCCTCTTCAATTGGGTAAAGCTGTTTGCAATTCAGCGGATTATCTGCTCATCAAACAATACGCTGCCAGCTTCCTAATGCTCCAGCGGGGAGAGGAGCACAGGGAGACCCGGCGCAGCGCGGTGCCACCGCTCCCACCAGCCAGCCCTGGGGACCAGAGCCACTGGGATGGGCAGAAGAGTCACACAACCAGGCTGGCTGAGCCCCCAGCCCCCTGTATCCTAACTTGTGCTTGGCTACATCACCCATGGGTGCCAGTTTGGCCAAGCTGGGTGCTCTTCAGGACCAGCTACAGTGCTTAGCTGGCACTTGGCAAGGAAAAGCACTGAATGAAGCTGGCGCTGTTCCCCTATCCCAGCTCCAACATCCCGGTGCTCCAGTCTGAGCCCACTTGGCAACCGCTGTCTGGTTGAGGGGCACGAGGTGGCAAAGCTGAGGCTCTGGCATGATTTAAAGGTGCCACCTTTGTGGGTATTTTACGGCACCATTTGGGGGGATTATTAGCTTGGCTGCCTTCCCAGGGAGCTGCCGTGGCACTTCACGGATGAAAGCAGGTATTGCGATGACAAAGCCCTGAGCCTGAAGGGGCTGCTTAAAGCAGATGCTAATTCCTTATTTACTCCGAGGTCACACCAGAGGCTGTAGCTCGATGCCAGTGGAGTCCCCCTTGACACTGACGTGGGGCTGGGGTGAAGAGGCCACGCCAGGGGAGGAGAACACCCTGGTACAGCATCACCCCGCAGCAGCACCCGGTGCTGGCTGGGGACCAGGGTCCCGCACGTTCCCCCCTTCGAGCGCCACGCTGGGAGCGTTAACGTCGGTGGCAAGAATAGAAATGGTGGGCAGAGCTGGGCAGATGGCAGAAGGTGGAGAAATGGTGGAGCGTGCTGAATATTAACAGCTCCGGCCCATCCGTCAGCGCCCGGGGAGGGGAACAAGGGAGTAGTTCCACTGGAAGCACCCCCGGAGAGAGGGCAAAGCCATCCCCACCTCCCACGTACAGCCTGAGCATCTCCCGCTCCCTGCAACGTCCCAGGAGCTGAGGACACAGCTGGGGACTGTCAGGAGATGGAGCAGATCCAGCCAGCACCCAAACCCCATGGTCCCTCACCTCTGGCAATGAGAGGACGGCTGCGTGGCTGGGGGCTGCTAGGAAGGTTCGAGAAGGCTCTTCCCCACCCCGCCTTGAGCCCCCAGCCCCCTTCCCTAATGAGAGGTGATGAGATGAACATGAATCAGACTCCACACATCTCAGCAAAAGTGGAAAATTATTCAGCTCCTTAAGATTCAGGACGGGGAGGTCTGACTCAGAGCAGCAGCCAGCGCCGCTTAATTTTTTATAGATTAAAATGTATGCAAATTGGCCCAAACCCCAGAGAAAGTCCCTGGGGGTGAAAAGCAAGAAAGTGAAATAGCAACAGTGGAAGGAGGAGGGCAAAGGCACCCGTGGCCCCTGCCCAGCGTGTGGGGCTGCAGCCGGCATTCCATGGCCACCAGCCCGCAGGCAGGGAGAGATGAGGCTGAGCCCTGCCCTGGCCGGTGCAGGGAGCAGAGCCACGGCTGAGCATGAAGGGAAGGGGCCATGGGATGATGTTTGGTGAGGATGGAGCCCAGTGGTGCTGCCATTGTGGCTGGTGAGGCTGGAAGGGTGCCCAGAAGCAGCCCAAAGGCACCAGGATGGGACAGACCGGGGTCACCCGCGCCGGCTGGGCTGGCTGCTGGAGCGGAGCAGCAATCATCCCTTGAGGCAAATCAAAGGCAAGCGCGGGGGCCTCCCCTTGATGTTTTAATCAGTTCGGTGTCGCCGGAGCCTTTCATCAAACTACAGAGGAAGGAAACATCAATTAGCAGCAACCTGCCTGCGATGCGGGTCAGGGAGCTGCGCACCAACCAGGCCGGACCGGGATGCAGGAGAGCTGCGGTCACAGGAGCATCCTTGAGGGTGTTTTGTGTCCCTGCGACTCGTGACAGCCATGGAGAGGTCCCAGCAGCGTGCTAGCAGGAGGACACGGTGACAGGGCTGTCCCCACTCAGCACCGAGCTGCTCACTACAGCTGGGAGCTCATGAATATTGAACACACGGGGAGGTTATTCATCTTTTACGTCCCGCAAAGCTCGGCTCATTCTGAGAAACCACCCGGCCTTAGAATTTTTCTCATCTCCCCCTAATTCATTGCCTCCTCTTTTAAACAGATGGCTCCCAAAATCCCATTTATAAAGCACCATGCTCAGTGCTGGCAGGATGAGTGCCTGCCCGGCCCTGATCCCAGGCCACTGGGATCCCCAAACCCTTCCAGCCCCACTCTCCCCTGGCCAACGCAGAATGGAAGCAACAACAACGCAGGGACAAGGTGGGAGCTAGAGACAGCAGATACAGGGCCAGCATGTGCCCAAGCATGGGGCAAGCCAGTCCCCATCATCCGAGCGCAGATGGCAGGCTGGAGCAGGACTGATTTATCCCAGCTCCTAGACAAATAAATGGGAGCGTTTGGTGCTGGCAGGAGCATGGGGTCCCCTGACACCAGAGCAGTGTGTGAATGATACCGTGCTGCTCCTCACTCTGTGAAGCTGCGCTGCTCTCCCCATCAGAGAGAAGTCCTCAGCTCTGGCACATCCATCATGCCTGGTGCCACCAGCCCTTGGTGGGGACTGGGATGAGAGCAGCCAGCCCGGGGGGATGGAGCTGGCACTGAGGGGCTGGGGCTCCTGTGTGCTCTGCTGGGACAGGGACACGGAGTGGGCTGCTCCTTGGATCACAGCCACCTGCCTCATCTGCATGTGGCTCTTCACAGCACAGTCACACTGTGGTGCGTTGTCACCTCCCTGCCTGGGGATAATGCCCTGCAAATACCCCACGCCCTGTCCCCTGGGGTAAAGGCAGAGCCTCACCGTCACCCCACCACCCTACACCCACTGCAGCACCCAAACCCAGCCCATGGCAGTGGCTGCTGCTCTCCGGGCGCAGGGGGCTGAGCGCAGCCCCGGCTGAGAACAATGCATGTAATTAGTGGAGAAGCCACCAAGCCCCATTACCAGACTCCCAACTTCATTAGCACAGGAAGACTGCACCTAATTAAAATAATGAGTTTGCAATTTTCCTGCAAATGGCGCTGGAAGAGCCCTGCTGCAGCCGGGCAATCCCTGCTGCCGGGTCAGGACAGGGAAAGGTGCAGCACCCACCTCCATCTCCCTCAGGACCTCCTTTGTCCTCACAGGAGGTGCCAGGGACAGCCCCGTTATCCCAAAGGACATGTCCTGGGGCTACCCTGGCTTTGCTGGCCCTTTAGCTGCAAAGGAACAAAGTAAGGCAAACCAGGCATGGTTCATAGCATGGCAGAGCCACCATGACCATGCAGCACACAGGTGCCTGTCCCCTCTCCCCCAGGGCCAGGCCATAGCATTGCCCGTTGGTGTCAGCTCCATGGGGACACGAGGTTAGGCGGCGTGGGGCGCACGGTGGTGGGTACCACACCACAACAGGCATATCACAGCCTTGGGAGGTGAGAGCAATATAGGCTCCACACACTCCCCCCTGCCACGTCCCCCCCACACCATCATCACCCGGGCTGAGGTTTTAAACATCTCCAATGAAGTGAGAACTTCATTCTCCCTAATGATGCTGTTGTGCGGTTAATGATGGTGATTAAATTCCCCTGCACAGCACCCGCTGCCAGCACCTCCAGCTTGCGCCTGGAGGACAAGGGGAGAAGGGAAGGCAGCGCTGGCCGGCCCAGCTCCGTCTCTGTGCAGCTGGGGCTGGATCCTGACTTGGGTTAGTGTCCCAGGATGGCCCTTTGGGACCTCTCAGTGATGCTGACAGCTTCACCGCGCTGCTCAGTGGCACTGGGGACCAGCCATAAGGGGCTATTTTGTCCTTGCTGTCACAACCACTGGCCATAGTGGGGCACTTAAACCGATGTCAAAGCTGCTGGACTGTCTGCATGGACATTTAACCCTATACAGATCAACCAGAGATGATTCAAGACCCCCATCACTCTGAAACATCCCTGTACACCGTGGCACCACGGGCACCAGGATGACCTGTGTGCTCCCAGCACCGCCTCACAGAGACACCCAAAAGCCACCAGGTCATTAGGAGGTGCTAAGGCTGCGACAAGGGCAGCCTCTGTGGACAGCAGAACCCCCCTGGTCCCCTCCACCATTGCCCATCCCTACTGACTGCTTAGCAGGAGCCACTCACCCCGTTGTGGCACAGGGATTAGCAGCCGTGAAGCCCAAGAGCTGACGTTAAACACGGCATCAAAACCCCACCTGATCCTTCCTGGGGTGGCGAGAGGAGGGGTCCCCTTCTTGCTGCACAGACCCCCATGGAGCTGGAGGTGAGGGGGGGGCACCGCTGCCACCTCCCCAGCACGACAACGGCTGGGCTGGGGGGCTGCCCCCCTCCTGGAGCCGCAGTCCAAGCTTCCCCCCCCTCCCACCCCACGCTCCTCTCCCTGCTGCCGCCCCCCAGCACGAGTTACCCTGCGCCGGATTGCATCAGCCGTGACAAACGGAGCCGATTTGGAAGGTGCTGCCAGAGCGTCGTGATGCATTTTTGGCAGCCCACCGCCCCACCACCAGCTCAGCAGACCCCGGCCCTGCCGCCCCCCCCCCGCAGACAGCTGCTCCCCCCAGTGTGGGTTCGGTAATGACAAAGCCATTAACGCTAATTAAGCGGGCTTCACACACCGGTCAATGCTGTGAGTGCCTCTTGCCTTCAAAGACTCCTTTCCAGAGCAGTGACACGGTGACACTCCAGCTACATCTTCATCCCCGCAGCCCCTCGGGGCTTGGCAAGTGCAATGCTGGGAAGACCAGACATGATGCTGGGGGGGGAGTGTGTGTCCCCCGGGGGGCTGCTGATTTCCACATGGCAGTGAGGGACATGGTGACACTGCCATCCCCCTGCACAGGGACATAGGGACCCGCAGCACCGCATCCTCCCTAAGCCACGGGTGCTGCAGCGCAGCGAGGCCAGGTCCTCGCGCTCCAGCACCACAGGGTCATGGCACAGATAGCGTATTGAAAGGCAGCTCCAGCAGAAGGGATAAATATTCCTTCTGAGCAGCAGCAGACACAGCGCCAGTCGAGCTGGAACATGCAAGGATGGGCACCGTGGTCCCAGCCCCACGCTCGGCTCTGCAGCCACTACCGGGGCACACAGCAGAGGAGGAGCTCGCTGGCATCCCCAAGCCCCATATCCCACAACGAGGAGGGAGCAGAAGGCTGCAGGGATGAGCTGGGAGAAGGGCTGCATTGAGCAATGCCCCCCTTGTGGGCACAGGTATCCCTGGCACGCTCAGTCCTCCATCCCCTCTATCCCCAGTGGGAAGGGAACATGCACACACACCCCCCCCCAGGGGTGACAGCACCCCAAGCTCCCATCCCCAGCCTGACTGCGTGTGGATTCCTGTCACATCAGAGGCTCGTCCAGCCCCACTGCCAGGTGAGGAGGGGGTGAGGAGGGCCAGCAGGAGCAGCGGAGCCACGATTCCACATCAATGCCTGTGATGAATATTAACAGCAGGAGGAGGCAGCGCTAAGGAGGCCACCTGACGATTCACACCTCAACTACAGCCATGCAACCGGGTCCCAAACGTGTTCCCAAGGGAGCAGGGACAGGGCTGGGCTCATCCTGCCCATGGCCACAATCCTCCAGCACCCACTGCTGGTACCCAGCGTGGCCACATCCACAGGCAGAATGAGGCACCCACTGCTCCCAGCAAGGCACTGGGGTGCTGCACAGTGGGAGCGAGGCAAGGACATGGCCTCGAAGCCACTTCCCTCCCAACCACCAACCCGTAGGTGCTGCCACGTCCCCTCTCTCGGCTGGGCACCTCTACCCATGCAGCACCCATCTCCATCCACAACCTCTCACCCTGGCAGCCAGCACCCCCCCCGGAGCACCCCCAGTACAGAGGGTGAGTCCAGCACCCTGCATCCACTGGGATGTGGGGCTTAAGGTTTCATTCAGATAAAAGAAACCCCTTAATCCGCTGCCTTTGAAGTCGGAGACATGAAAGCGGCTGGGTGCCAAAGCCGGAGAGGAGGCAGCTCCACTTAAAGGGACAAGCCCACACGGAGCTGCCCACACTCGCATCCATCCCCTGCCCCCCCCAGCACCCATCCCCTGCCCGCACCCACCTTCCCCCTGCTCCCTCGCCCAGCCCGAGCGTGGGGCTGCCATGATCCTGCGGGGGAAAACGATGGCAAAGCAGGGACAAAGCCATAGGCACGGCCCCCTTCCCACCCGGCACGGCTCCAGCTGCTCGGCTGGCGGCGGCAAGGAGGCAGCTCGCTAATGAGAGCTTCGACCCCGATGGCAGATGAGGCAGAGGGTGCTGTTAGCACCGATTCACTGGGTAAAAGCAGGGAGGGGCTGGGGAGGCAGCAGGGAAGGGACATTACAGCCAGCTCCTCTCCGGTTTCACCTCCCAAGTGGCATTGAGAATGAAGAAAGGAGCCACTTGGCGGGGGCTGCTTACAGAACCCCCCCCCGCTCTGGGCCACCACCATGGCCTCAGGCCTTCCCTGAGAGCAGCAGGGACGGGACGGTGGCACAAGGAAGGACAGGAGACCTGCGCAGCAGCGGTGGCCCCGCTGCCCTCCCTCCCCTCGCTGGCGTCAGGCGGTTGTTAACACGGCTGCTCCCCGGCTCCAGCACCACCCCTGAGCTTGTCCCAGCTCCCAGCAGAGCAGCGAGGACCAGGCTGGCACCCTGCCCGTCCCTTGTCCCCAGGGCTGACAGCAGGTCCCTGCGACCTGCCGCAGGGCCACAGCGCTGCCTACGCTTGGATGTGGCCAAGGTGTCCCCGCCAGGGCAATCACACTGGGCCTCCCTTTCAGCAGTAGCTTTGAGCTTCATCCTGCCCAGGCAGCCCCATCCAGCAGCTGTCCCATTCCCAGCAACAGCCCCATCCCCTCGGGAGCCCCTGGAGCAGGGAAGCATGGAAAAGCTGTCATCTTACCGCTCAATGATGTCTGCGATGGTGCACGCGAACATGAGGAGCCCTTCTGGCATCTGCAGGGCCACTGGGAAGAGAAACAGCCCCGGGGTTACGAGGGGCTGGAGGGGACACCCTGAAGCAGAGACTTGGGTACCAGCCAGGTCACAGAAAAACCCAAACCAGCCAGGAATTGGCCCAAAACCCCAGTGACTCTGGCAGCCGGGGTGCACGCGGTCCTGCTTTGGGCTGTATCATTCCCCCTGCTTGGATCCAGCCCCTCATCCCATTAGGAACCCGCTGACACTGCCGGTCTCTCCCGCTTCCCTCAGTAATGACTTCTACATTTTAATTAAGTGCTGCTCAGGAAAAGGCACTTTCTTCTGTTTATTTTAAACCTGCTCCTAATAATGTGCCCCTGGTTCTGCTGGTACAGGAATGAGTGAATAATCATCCCCTATTCAGCCTCTCCACATCACTCACTGTTCTACATCCTTCTATCATATCCTTCTTCGTTCACCTCTTTCCCAGCTAAAGGATCTAAATCTATTTAATCTCGCCCTAGACAGAAGCTGTTCCAAACCTTTGATCATCCCCGCTGCCCTTCCCACACCTCCTCTCCCTGCTTCGCTCCCTGTTTTGGGAACAATGCTGCGTTGTGCCTTGCAGGAATACACTCATCAACAAATGATGCTGCCTGGTTTGTTCCTTCCTCACAGCTTGGAACAATCCCTTTGCCTCTGCAGCCCAGCTGGGCCCCCCAGTGCCTGGGGTCCAGGCAGGAGCCCCTCCTGGATCCCTGCAGGGCTGCCCACGCCAGTGTAGAAGGAGCAGGGACTATGGACGAGGAGATAAATGGAGGAGGCCCCATTAACCCCATTGTATCACCTCCCCATCCCAGCAGTATCTATCCAAGCATCCTCTTTAGATCCCCCTCCAACAGAAATCCCTGTGCTGCCAAGCCCAGCCCATTGGCCAGCACAGAGCTATGTAAAGACCTGACCTAAACTGGGTTAATCTCACCCTGCTCCAACCCAGAGGGCCCAAGGGAAGCTGCCTGCGCTCTGCCAGCCCCTGCCTGACCCTGGATCAGGGCCGTGGCATTCCCCATCCCATTTAGGACCATTTGGGACTGCCCTCCACCCTGGACCTCTGCCAACAAGCAGACCTGCAAACCTCTCCCAGCGAAGGCAATAGGCAGCTCTGTGCCAGCATCGAATACAGGGAGAAAGGATAACACCCCCCAAGCCCCACTGCACGCAGGACACAGGCAGGGCTGGCTGCATCCCGATGGGAAGCTGCGTTCCCCCAGCAACGAGCCCCTGGCTGGGCTGTGCTCAGGCAGGGTTTTAAATCCCAGCACGGCTGGTTGGCTGATGGGCTGCAATCCCAGCTCCCAGACCTAAATCCCAGACGCCTATTTACATTTAATTAGGAGGTGCCAAGCAGCAGAACACAGCAAGGAGAGCCAGAGCTGCACGGATGGGCAGCCTCAACGCGTCCCGCACCGCAGCCGGGATGGACCGGGCAGCCCCAACCCTTCGGCATCGCAGCTGGGATCAGCCCAGCAGCAGCTCCTGGAACATCCCCTCTGATGCTGCCAGCCCGGCTGCAGCACACAGAGACATTCCCAGGTGGATGCAGCATTCCAAATGTGGCTCTGCCTGGAGACTCTAGCACCAGCAACCCTGGGAGTGATCCCTGCCTACATATGAAGCTAGGGAGGGGACACTGATGACACCCAGGGATGCTCCATGCCATGATGCCTGCAGCTGATCACACACTGAGTGGGGGGGGACACCATCCCTGGCACCACCCCAAAGCATCCCGGCGCCTGCTCCAGGGCCACCACAGCCACTTCCCACCTCCCCAGGGCTACAGCAAGCCCCTAAGGAGGGTTCAGGCCAGACCATAGCATGGCTCAGCTCCCTGCCAGGCCCCCTGGAGCTGGGAATTGTGGGGCTCTCTCTGCCCAGCCCCAGCAGCATGGCAGGAAAGCGCAGGGAAAGAGGAGAGCAGCAGGGACCTGGCTGGTATCCCAGACACATCTCACAGGCTGACAGGTCCGCGCAGCTCAACCTGTCCTGTCCAATGTGATTACAATCCAGAGATACAGATCTATTAAAGCCCCTCGAGGGGAGAAGAGCTCGCCAAGAGAGAGTTCAAACACACCAGGACACGCAGGGCAGCTCAGCACCGTCCCTGCCCAGCTTCCCCAAGCCCCACACCCGGCCCATGCAGCTCCCCTTGCCACCGAGGGGCTCAGCATCACCACCCCACTGCACTGCAGCCCCAAACCCCTCATTGCCAAGGGTCGGTGCTCACCCTTCTTGGCCCGAGCCTGCCGGATGCGCCAGATGGTCTTGGGGATCTCAAAGTTGTAGTTTCGGGGCAGGGCTTCCGCCGCCTCCCGTAGCTCCACGTTCCCAAGGATCTCCTCAGGAACCTGCTGTGCCACGTGCCGTGCACGGCCTCGGCCTGCGGGACAAAAGTGGGGGGGCTAAAGGAGCGGCCAGGAGGGCAGCACGCCCCATACGTACCCCATGGACCACCAGCATCCTCACTGCCCTTACAGCACCCCCGGGGGCAAGCGGGCAGAAGGGGGTGAGTTTCTGCCCTTCATTATGGCATTTTAGGGGTAAAAGCATGGGGTTTTTTTGCCCACTGTAACTATGGCCCCAAGAGCAGGCACAATCCTCATTGCTTTTACACTACCCCCAGGGATAAGCAAACAGAAGGGGGTGAGTTTCTGCCCTATGGCATTTTTGGGGTGAAAACACCCCTTTTTTGCCCACAAAGCACCCCTATAGAGGGGGCAGACTCATTCAATGGACCAGCAGGCACAACCCCCGATGCCTTATCCATAGCACCCCCATGGTGGTGGTGGTGGGGGGGTCCAACCTGCCTTATCCAGGGGATCCCGTTATCCCATTGCGGGGAAAACAAAGGCAACAGCAGCGGGTGAGCCAAGCTCGTCCCTCGGGCAGCTCATCCCGGAGCCGGCCCCCGCCGCCACCCGCCTCCCCACGGCTCGGCTCGGCTCGGCTCGGCTCGGCTCGGCTCGGCGGGGGAGTGACAGCAGGGCGCTTATTCACTATTTCCAGCCCAACACCGGCACTCATGAGCCAGCGAACCCTCCCCGCACGGCCCACGGCCGAACCGTCAAAGGACCAGCTGGGCCGGGCCGGGCCGAGCCGAGGAACCGAAATAGAGCCCGGTAACGGCGTTAACCCCGGTCTCGGCCCACCTGAGGCGGGCACCGGGGCCGCGCTGCCGACCCTCACGGAGGCCGCCATTGCTCTGGAGCACGTGAAGGCGGGAAGGCAGCACTAAGCGAGCCCCGCGCTAGGCCAGAGCAGTCGCCGGCCGAGAGATCGAGTGTAGGGGAGGGATGGGGAGGGGTGGGGGGGGGCGAACCGGCAGGCGACCGACGGGACGGGCGGTGCGGAGGGGAGCGGTGGGTCACACACACGGTGCCCCACGGGCCTTTGGGTGTGCAGTGGGATGTGTTAAGCGCTGTGGTGGTCGGGATGCCACGTTTAGCACCGGGGATGTGGCCCCGCCGCGTCTCCATACCGGTGATGACGGCTCCGGGGCTGCCGGTGGCAACGTTAACACAGGGATGGGGAGAAGGCACCGGAGCTGCTGCCGTGTCCTCTCTCACCCGTGTCAGGGAGCAGAAGCCAAAGCCATGAGAGGGGTGGGGCAGGAGGGACCCCTGGGGCACGGGTAATGGACCGGGGGGGGACGGGGGGACCAGCGGGATGCCCCCGAGCATAGCGGGGACCCGGGCGGGGCGGTGGGGACAGCAGCGCTCCCGGTGTGTTAACGGGACTGAGGGGAGGAGGCGAGAGGGACCCGAGAGGGACAGAAGGGACAGCCCGGGGACAGCGGGACCACTGAGACGTTGGGAACTCGGTGAGGAGTGCGGGGATAGCAGGGACTAGGGAGGGGAGAGGGGACGGCAGAGCTCCCGGTGGAGCATCCGTGATCCCGGAGGAATAGCAGTGATCCGGTAGGGCGGAGGGAACGATACGGGGCGGAAAGCACAGTAGGGAGTGACAGGGATCGTGCGGGGCAGAGGGGACAGCGAGAACAGCAGGGACAGCGATCTGGACACCGGGGGACGGAGGGAGCGATGTGAGGCGGAAGGGACGGCAGGTCCCCGGGGAGCGGCACGACCGGCGCTAGGCAGACGGGACCGCGGAGACAGCCGTGACCCCTGCAGGCGCGCACGGGTCGGGAAGCAGACCCCCGATGCTGTACCGGGACACCAGGGGTGGGGACACACGACGACACGGAACGACGGCGGAGGGGACGATGATGGTGCGGGGATGACGGCCGGTCCCAGGGGGACCGCAGAGCCCCGGAGGGGCAGCGCTGGGCTGTGACCGCCGGTGGGGCGGAGGGGACCGGGGGTAGCGGGGAGGGGAGGGAGAGCGGGGAACGGGAGCAGCGGCACTTTCACGAACTGTCCACGGGAGGCGGGAGAGACGGCGGCGGCGGAGGAAAAGGGGGGGGCCCGGCAGGGCTCGCCCAGCCCAGCCCAGCCCAGCCCGGTCCTGCCCGCCCCGTCGCTGCCCCGCCCCGCCCTGCCCAGCCCTGCCCGCCGCTGCAGGCAGCGCGGCACCGGCACCGGGCGCCCCTTTATAGGCTCGGTCCGAGGGGGTGGGGGGCGGCGGCGGCCCCAGCCCCGAGGGGGCGGCTCCCCCCTAAAAGCCGGCGGCGGGACGCGCGGCGGGCAGAGGCGCGGCCGGCGCTCCCGGTGCTCCGGGGCCGGCGCTCCCCGGTGCCGCTGCGGCTCGGCCCGCCATGCCCCCGCGGGGGCCGCTCGCCCGGGCCCCGGCTCCGTGTTCCCGGTGCAGGAGCAGCCACCGCTACCGCCGCCGCTGCCGCTCGCCGCCGCCGCGCCCGCGGCTCTGAGCGCCGCCGCCGCCGCCGCCGCCGCCGGGAGACCGCGCCCGCCCCGGCTCCAAGATGCTCCGCCAAGGTGAGCGCCGCACCGGGAGGGCACCGCGTACCGCGGGCACCGGGGGCAGCGGGGCCGGCCCCGAAGTTTGTCTCCCCGCCGAAGTTGGGGCTGCGCCGCCGGGCGCCCCCCGCCGCCGCCGCGTTACCGACACCGATGCTCGGGTACCCCCTGGGGTCCCCGGGTAGCGGCACCGGCGGCGCACGGAGGGAGCGCAGCGCGATAGCGAAGGAGAGCGGGAGGAGCGGGAAGGAGGCGCGGCAGGCGCCCGGTCCCGCAGGACCGGAGACGCGGCGGGTCCCGCGGGTGCCGGGGTACGGCGGGTCCCGGAGGCAGCGGAGCCGCGGCGGGCGCGGGGGGGCGTCGGCGCTCGTCCGCTGGAGCGAGGGAACGGGAAACGGGGCTCAGCGGGGGACGCGGGGGGGGTTCGGCGGGGAAGTTGGGGCGCGCTGTCCCGTTCCGCCCCCCCGAGGAGATTCGCTCCGCTGTGACATCACGCTTATTTCCATGGCAACCGCCTGGGACATCATAGGGGAGCTTTTTGACATCACAGCGAAGGGAGAAGCCGGTTTCCCCCGGGGGGTCCAGGACGGGACGGGGGGCGTGCAGGACCCCCGGCTCCGCCGCACCCTGGTCAGCCCTGGGGAGATACCGGGGACGGCGGCGGGGATCCCGGCCGGACCCCCCCCATTCCCAGCTCACACCCCAGTTTGGGGTGAACCACACAGCCCCGGGCCCTGCCCTCACCACCACCATCACCACATGCCCCTCTCCAGCGAGGCTCCGGCAGCGGGAGAAGGTACCAATGCTGTGCCAGCACCCCCCAGCATCAGGGTGCGGATCTCCAGGCACGGCACAGACCCCGCTGCCATCCCGGGGATGCTTTTTCCCACTGGGAAGCTTTATCCCACTGGGAGGAATGTCACCTTGCGGCTTGGATGCTCCTTTCTCCAGCTTCTGCTTCGGCTTTGTTCAGCGTGTTAACCCAGCCAGGCTGGCGGTCTTGGGAATCAACCCTGAGCCCATGGAGCAGCTCCGGTTCCCAGCCTCAGCCTCAGTGCCCAGCCTTGATGCTGCTACCTGGAGAAAAAGCATCATCCAGGCTGGAAAACTGGGATCCTGAGGTAGAGGAAGGCAGCAGGGTTGCATCCCACCAGGGGTACCCTGTTAAGGTCAAGATCTACAGCTTTCATTTCTGGAGCTGGGAAAACAACATGCAAATTGAAGAGCCTGTGGGCTAATGTACAACCTATTCTTAAAGTTTTTGTCTTGTTAAGCAAGGAAATAGAGTGCCAAATAGGCTTTGTTAAGTGGCAGCCTAATTAATTATTTAAAATCCTGTAGCTGTCTTTCATTAGAATTTATCTGTACACCAACCACAAAATCAGTCAAACACACTCATTTATAAGTTAATGCCGTTCCTGAATAATTCAACAGGCAGTTAGAGGAGGCCTCCATCCCACCCAAAGGCTCTGCCCTCCCTGTCTCCCCATTACCGGCTGTCTCCAGACCCTGGCATTTGCCCCAGTTGGGGTGCAGAGGGGACACCCCTCCCGTGTGAGGTGAGGGGAGATGGGGAGAGCTGCCACCGGGGCACAGGACCGGGGTGAAACCCCTCCGTGGGGCTCAGGGTTTTGCTGAGGGACGCGGCAGCGCAGGGCTGTGCTGGTGGGAAGCAACACAGGCTGATGGTGGCACTGCCAGCGCCTTCCCCATCCTATTGTTGGGATGAGGGATTAGGGATGTGGAAGGATTGGGGCGGCGGGAGCTGAGCTCAGGGGATGTCTCCAAGGGGAAGCAGCTCCGTGTGCCTTCTGCAGGGGATGGATGTCTTCACACGTCGGGTGGCAGCATGGTTGGGGCAGCACTGCGATGCCTGTGGGTATTTTGGGGCCTCTTGCATCCCAGAGCTCCAGCTGCAGAGGCACTGAGCAGGATCCAGGGAGGATTTTGGGCACTGGGACATCATTGGTGGCATGGCAGTGGGTGACAGCATGGGCGAGGGTGCCAGCAGGACCAGCCCTGCGCCGTGCACCCTGCCCGAGGCGGCGGCACGCAGCAGTGCAACGCTGGCAACGCAGGAGAAGGAGATTTCCAGGTCAAGGATGCCACCAAGGTCATGGGCAGCCATGTCCCTGCCATTGCTCAGCCCATCGACGGGGCATCCAGCCCTGTCCATCCCTGCATGGCAGCAGCCAGCGGTGGGCAGGGTGCGGGCACAGGCTGAGCTGCGGTTCCTGCGCCGTGGAGCCAAGAGCCCAGAAACCTTTCTGCTTATAAAAGTTTAATCTCCTAAAGAGCTGAGAGGAAGCCACAAGCTCTCTGTGCCTGGCGAAGAGAGGGGGGTGGCTGGGGGCCGGTCAGGATGTGGTCCAGGCTGTCCTTGTGGTGGTGCTGGAGGGGGGGGAATAAAGGGGGGGATCGGGCAGGCGAGACCTGCCTGGAGCCAGAGCCGGGATGCAAAGGAGCTGTCGCTGCTCAGTGACCCGCAGTGATGGAGCCTGGCAGGGTCAGAGCTGTGTCCATGCTTGGATGAAAGCTATTCCCACCTTTTGCCCACAGTGCTGCACCGGTGCCCTGTGGTCCCATCCGGCTGCTGAAGCTTGCAGGTGACATTCCAGGTGGCCTCCAAGCGCTGCCCTAAAAACACCAGTGAACCTGGAAACTTCAAAATAGGCATCTTCTGGTGTGATTTCACACCTACCTTTCCCCAGGGCACCCGATCCTGCTGGAGCCGCGGGCACGGGGTCCCTGTGATTTGCAGGATGAGGCTGCAAGTGGGATGTTGTTCCCTGGGGACTGGGCAGGGACTGGGGCTGCTGGAAACATCCTTTATCAAGAGCCAAACCCTCCATTTGGAAGCAAAAACCAAGCAGGGCAGAACAGGAGCCTGGAGGGACATGATGTGGGCTATGGGCAGTCAGGGATGCCCCCCACTGGGGTATCCCCAGCTCCCAGTGATGCCCTTGTCCAGCCCTGGAGCAGCACAGGGGCAGACCCCCTTGCAGAGGAGTGACCCAGGACATGGCTATTTCAGCCCCACAGCGTTGTGGTGGCAACCACCAGTCCCACTTTGCCCCATATGGGTGATGCTGCTCCCCATTCCCAACCCATGGAGCTGCTCCAGCAGAAAACTCAGGCTTTGTTTGTGAAGTGCAATCCCAGGGTTTAGCCACGTTGGTTATAAAGTGGTTATTAACAGCAGATTATGTCTTTAAAGGAGCTTTGGTGGAGCAGCAGGCAGCAGCAGCACTCAGGCAATGCACCAGCACCCGAGCAATGGTGGCTGTTGTTTGGGATGGGTGAGGTGCTGCCCTGATCCAGCACCCGCCAAAGGAGGCTGGAGTCTGATTTAAGAGTGGAGGCAACAAGTGGGAGGCCATAGGGTGATGTGGGGCTGGGAGCAAGCA